TGTCACCCACCACCCCAATTTGCGGGATAAGGCACCAAACACCCCCAGACCCCCCCCCCATCTTATTGTCACACTGACCATGAAATATAAGAGCCGCAGCAGCTGAAGCTCTTTAATATTCTGAGTCCACAAGAACAGAAACACAAAAAAACTCAACGTTTTCTGGTCTCCCTCTCATTCGTCTGTCTATGAAGCATAAGTCATTAACAAGTCGTTGACGAGTTAATCATGACTCACTCACGGATTATCAATATGTTCACCAAAAGTTAGTAATAAGTTCATGACAAGAGTTAATTACGAGTATGTCATGAGTTAGTAAGGAGTTGATTATGAGTTTGTTGTGAGTCGATCAGGAGTTAATCAGGAGGACATGAAGCAGTTAACCGAATAAAAAGTAATGCCAAACTATTATATTTGTCATTTTTTACCCAGTAACAGACCTTTTCCATCCCATTCGTGCCATGACTTCCTGAGTTCGGAGGACTTTTTTTCCCCTCTATTCCTCAGTTTTTTTTCCCAGCCTTTTTTCCCTTTTATTTCTCTTTTAAAATAGTTTTATTTCAAAGTTCAATTCAAACATCGTGTCATTTTCTCCTCAATGTCTGCGCTCATCGACGTGACTGACTTTGACTGATAAACAAACACCAGTCTGACTGTCGTCTCCTTCCTGCAGGGAGGTGGTGGAGTACATGGTCCAACACTTCAAACCTCAGCTCTTTGGAGACAGGAAGCCGGTTTACGATGGAAAGAAGAACATCTACACGGTGCTAGCTCTTCCCATTGGCAGTGAGAGGGTGAGAACCTGTGCTTTGGCCACACCCACAATACCTGCAGTCCCAGAGTCGGCCATCTACAGTGTTTTTAATTCACACCCACACCCAGCACCTCAGCCTCTGTGAACCAGTGCCCTCTAGCTTTGTTAACAGGTATTGTGGTCCACGTGTTCTGCAGCTCCTCCTTCACCTCTGACCTCTCTGTGACTACAGGTGGACTTTGAGGTGACCATACCAGGAGAGGGGAAAGACAGAATCTTCAAGGTATCAATCCGTTGGTTGGCTAAGGTATCGTGGCGCCTCCTACAGGAGACTTTGGTCAGTGGCCGCCTGCAGGTTCCCCTGGACTCGGTTCAGGCCCTGGATGTGGCCATGCGCCACCTGGCATCTATGAGGTACTGAAATTTCAGCGAGTAAGCGATTTTTTTTCACTGGAACAAGAAACAAGCTACTTTATGTTCAACAAAAAAAGAAGAAAAAAAAAGAAAGAATTACACTTTGTATCAGCACAAATCATGCATTTTCTCTATGGGTTTTGGTTTCAGAGGAGAGTGAGTCGTTTGTATGACTTATGGATGAGGTCACACAGAGGTCATTCTTCCTGTTCTTCTCAGGTACACTCCTGTGGGGCGCTCCTTCTTCTCTCCTCCTGAAGGGTACTACCATCCTCTGGGTGGAGGCAGAGAGGTGTGGTTTGGTTTCCATCAGTCTGTACGGCCTGCCATGTGGAAGATGATGCTCAACATCGACGGTGAGTCAGTGCAGACGAACCGCTCAATCACTCAGTGATGTCACCACTTTTTTTTTGTCCTGACACATTGTGTAGAGGCATACACAAACACCCACAGACCAGACTCTCTGTAGTTTGACTGGGTCATCTGCTGCTCTCTGTCTCCCTCTAGTGTCAGCCACAGCCTTCTACAAAGCCCAACCGGTCATCGAGTTCATGTGTGAGGTTCTGGACATCCGTAACATTGACGAGCAGCCCAAGACCCTGACCGACTCTCAGAGAGTCCGCTTCACCAAGGAGATCAAAGGTGGGCTCGTGGACCTGCTGATGGTCCTCCCAAAACCCTGACACACACCAGATCCAAATCAGTGTTGAACCAAATGTCGATGCTGTGTTACATGTTGTGGTTTGTACCCCTGCTGGTCGTGTGCAGGACTGAAGGTGGAGGTGACGCACTGCGGCCAAATGAAGAGGAAGTACCGAGTGTGTAACGTCACCCGACGTCCCGCCAGTCATCAGACGTGAGTCGGTTTTCTCTTTAACTTTACCTTCTGATTTTACCAACCTGTCCTGTAGGTGTCACCAACGCTCTCCATCACAGCAGCTCTTCTTCAGTTGTCTTTGTCTGTTTCCTCCTCCTCCTCCTCAGGTTTCCTCTGCAGCTGGAGAGTGGACAGACAGTAGAATGTACCGTGGCCCAGTACTTCAAACAGAAGTACAACCTCCAGCTCAAATACCCTCATCTGCCCTGTCTACAGGTGGGGCAGGAGCAGAAACACACCTACCTGCCCCTGGAGGTGAGAGAGAAAAAAGAAAAGAAGAAAAGCCAACCTACCTGCCCCTGGAGGTGAGAGAGAGAAAAAAAGAAAGAAAAGCCGTTTCCAGATGTTCAACTGTCAACGCTTCACACATGGTTTTATGTTTGAAAGTTTTCTTCGTGGATTCTCTTCTGTGACTCAGTCAATAAATAACCCGACTCTGTTTTCAGGTGTGTAACATCGTAGCAGGTCAGCGCTGCATCAAGAAGCTGACAGATAACCAGACGTCCACCATGATCAAAGCTACGGCTCGCTCCGCTCCAGACAGACAGGAGGAGATCAGCAGACTGGTGAGTGACAGAAGAGGACAGCGCCACCAAGGAACCTCTCTGAACTTCTTTAAATCCTCCTTCGTTTCTGCTGGAAAATCGGTTGAACTTTGTCGAAGCTGAGACACTGTGTCCTTGACCTCGTAGGACATGTGACTTTGACGGTCCTTGTCTGGAACGTCGACCAAGATGGAAGATTGGAGATTAGGGAATAGATGAATTAAATCTAGATCTGAGGATTAAAGACTTTGAGTAGAGATAAGAGCTAGAGTGCCAGATGAAAACAAGTAAGTGACTCGTTAATACTGAGATAAAGAACTAAAGTTTTTTTTAAAAATTTGCCAAGAATGTGCCTAGCTTAAGGTACTGGTTAGCAACTGAATTTCTAGGTAAACACAAACAATAGTCTTTGTATTTAAAAGTGTCAGTGAACGTCACCTGAACGCAGCTTTCTTCTTAAAAACCAAAGTATGAGACACAAGGTGAGGGAGTGCAGTGAAGAACGAAGTTCAACCTTTAACCAAAAGAAAAGAAACATGTAGTAAAGTTCAGCTAAAGGTTAGCTGCTCTCAGGCCGACCCAGATGGTTTGGATATCTCTACATCAGCTCAGGGTGGAGGCTCCAAGGTCTAAGAATCTTCTTCCTCTCACAGATGAAAAACGCAAACTTCAACCTGGACCCTTACATCCAGGAGTTTGGAATTAAAGTCAAAGACGACATGGCGGAGGTGACGGGTCGAGTTTTGCCTGCTCCCATCCTGCAATACGGAGGAAGAGTAAGGATCACCATCACCTTCCTCCACCTTCACCTCGTCTTCATACTGTATACACATGGTCACGGTCTGCTCTCCACAGAACCGGGCCATCGCCACGCCCAACCAGGGGGTGTGGGACATGAGGGGGAAACAGTTTTACAACGGGATCGAGATCAAAGTGTGGGCCATCGCCTGCTTCGCTCCACAGAAACAGTGTCGAGAAGAAGTGCTAAAGTAAGAAGAAGACGAGGAAGTTCCTCTCTCTCTTTATTGTTTTGTCTGCGAACAGGGAGAAATTGTTCATCGGTTTGAATCCTGTGGTGTCTTAAAACTTTTCTGATATTAGAGTCTGATCAAATTGTTGCATAAAAGTTCATCAGTATTTTAAAGTCTCCTTTCTCTGTTCTGCTCGCAGGAACTTCACAGACCAGCTGAGGAAGATCTCTAAGGATGCTGGGATGCCCATCCAGGGTCAGCCATGTTTCTGTAAATACGCCCAGGGAGCAGACAGTGTGGAGCCCATGTTCCGACACCTGAAGAACACGTATTCTGGGCTGCAGCTCATCATCGTCATCCTGCCGGGGAAAACTCCAGTCTACGGTACACCTGGGACTGTTGTTGAGCAGCCGGACGGTTCTAGCATGTGTTGTCTTCTGACGACTGTTTTTTTTTTACACTCGGAGCCAGATGTTCTCATCATGACTTTCAGATGTTTACTGTCAAAGTTCTGGTCCATCCTGAATGAACAGTTGTGGTGTTTTCCAGCGGAGGTGAAGCGTGTGGGCGACACACTCCTGGGCATGGCCACACAGTGTGTTCAGGTGAAGAACGTGGTGAAGACGTCTCCTCAGACCCTCTCCAACCTCTGCCTGAAGATCAACGTGAAGCTGGGAGGAATCAACAACATCCTGGTTCCTCACCAACGGTCAGTGACAGTGACAACTGTTGGAGTGTAGTTAGTTAGTTTATTTATGTCCATCATGGTGTCGGCTCATAGAACTGGTCGAGAGTTTTTTTTCACACTTAGTTAGTTTATTTATGTCCATCTTGACGTCAGCTTCAGTGAAGTGGTCGTCCTCAGTAACAACTGTATGAATTACAACATGTTTATTAACTGTACAACACGTACATCAAAGATGAGTGGATGGATGGTGGAATCGTTGGAGAGTCAACATGATTAATCAGTTAGTTGTGACTTCTTTGTTTGTTCGCTGTTTGTCGCAGAAGTGGTCGTCCTCAGTAACAACTGTAGTAGTTAGTTGTAACTTCTCTGTTTGTCATGAACGTAAATCCCTTGTTCAGATTTATGTCAGTATACAAACTGGCCACAGGAGGCAGTAGTGTCCCTATGACAAACATGTCTAATATGTTTAATATTAAACATTCCCCCCAGCCGGTGGTGACCTCATCTCCTCTTCCTGTTCTCAGGTCAGCAGTTTTTCAGCAGCCAGTGATTTTCCTGGGAGCCGACGTGACTCATCCCCCTGCTGGTGACGGGAAGAAACCCTCCATCACTGCTGTGAGTCTGGCATATGACTCTGTTAAGTCATCAGACACAAATGTCTCGACCGGAAACAGACTTGACGTGTGTGTGTGTGTGTGTTTGTGTGGACTCAGGTGGTGGGCAGCATGGACGCTCATCCAAGCAGGTACTGTGCCACAGTGCGGGTCCAGAGACCCAGACAGGAAATCATTGAGGACTTGTCCTACATGGTCCGAGAACTCCTGATCCAGTTCTACAAGTCGACCCGGTTCAAACCTACCAGGATCATCTTCTACAGAGACGGCGTTCCCGAGGGACAGCTGCCTCAGGTGAACTACACACTGGACCAGAACCGTGTGGAACCCATTTCCTGGTTCTGTATTTGTCTAAGCCACAGGCAGAAGAAGAAAGCCGACAACAGGAAACTCTTTTTCATGTTGAACACAAAGACTGCGCTGACAGAACCTCTTCTGCCGTTCCACAACGTAGTGTGGAAGTCTAAAGGGAAAATCAGTGATTTTAGTTCACAGACCAACTCTGGATTTTAGCTTCTACTGGTCGATTGCTGCCTCTTGTGGTCAGTTTGTGTAACTGAGTGAGTTCCAAATAAATAATTTATAAACGTGTGAACTGCGGTGGAGGCAACTACTGTGAGCTGAAATTACTGATGTTCTCCATGAGACCTGGTGTGGAGGGAGTTCTTTTCGACTTTCAGGTGTCTGAATATCAGATCTTCTTTTCGTAGATCCTCCACTACGAGCTGCTGGCCATCAGAGACGCCTGCATTAAGCTGGAGAAGGACTATCAGCCGGGAATCACCTACATCGTGGTGCAGAAACGTCATCACACTCGACTCTTCTGCGCCGACAAGTCAGAGAGAGTGAGTTGTTGTTTTCTCATCGTCTGCTTCGGTCTCTTATCACAAGAATGGAAAAATGTGATGATGTTGTGTTGTTGGCACAGATTGGGAAAAGTGGGAACATTCCTGCAGGAACGACGGTGGACACCAGCATCACTCATCCCTTTGAGTTTGACTTCTATCTGTGCAGCCACGCAGGAATCCAGGTAAAACACAGCTGACATTGTTTTGACTATTGTTACCACCAAGATAATGAAATGTAAATTATGACAATGGTAAAATCAGTGAGATATAACATCGATGTCCGTGTCTCAGGGTACGAGTCGTCCGTCTCATTACTACGTCCTCTGGGACGACAATCGCTTCACGGCGGACGAACTGCAGATTCTGACCTACCAGCTGTGCCACACCTACGTCCGCTGCACACGCTCCGTTTCCATCCCCGCTCCGGCCTACTACGCCCGACTGGTGGCCTTCAGAGCTCGCTACCATCTAGTTGACAAAGAGCACGACAGGTGGGTGTAGTTTTTGTATGCGAAGTGCATTCAATGTTTTCACAAATTTCTCAGAGAATTATTGAGAATTATTTAAGTATTTTCTACTTTAAAACTGAAATTGAGGAAGAGCTGTAGCAGTAGAACTGATCATGTGATAGGCTGCTCAGCAGGTTAGGGTGATAAAGTTCCAACTTCCTCTGTTTTTGGTCCTTTCCTGTTTGCAGTGGTGAGGGGAGTCATGTGTCTGGGCAGAGTAACGGTCGTGACCCTCAGGCTCTGGCTAAAGCTGTTCAGATCCACCACGACACACTGAGGACCATGTACTTCGCTTGAGCGCCACCTATTCTTCCCAACCCTTTCCCCATTCTTTCCCTGAGTAGGAGCACTATCGTTGCCCCGTTTCCCACCTGACTCCGCCCCCTTTTCACCGGTGACTCTTCATGCACTCAAAGGTTCTGAATTTGATTTTTTTTTTTTTACTTTTACCAGGACTGTTGTTTTTATGTTGACTTTTTCAAACCGCATTATGTCATGAGTTTTTATTTAACGCATGGTTCACACTCCCATGGAAGTACGTACACAATATGGATGGGAGGAGGAATTTTTTTTTTTTTTACTGCCACCACATGCTGCCTCTAAACCCATCCAAACCCTGGATGACAGTATTCCAAGACTCCGAAGGGGGAACGTTCGGGGGGTTTTCTGAGCGTAAATCCACTGACACATATTCAGTGAGCGCCCCCTGCTGCTATAGCCAAATTTGCTTACTCTTCCACGCCAAACCTGAAGTACTGCGTGAGTGTCAGTGAAATTATCTCACAACGGTTGTTGATCCTCACTGAATTGAAATGTCTTAATTTTTACCATCACCGTTCAGTGACACAAACTGACCACAGGTAGCAGCAGTGAACCAGGAGCACATGTGTCTGTGTGAGCTAAAATCACTCATTTTCTCTATGGACTTTGGTGTTGAAGAGTGAATGGTTTACAAACTTACTTTTCTCAATGGGAAAACCTTAAATGTAACCTTTTTTCCTGAAGTCTCGGCAGGCAGCAGTTTAGCAGAGAGCTAGCCTGTGTGTTTTAGCTTGGTTGTGGCAACAGGAGGCGCTCACTGACCCCACATCAGTGAAACACTACATGGAAAACCCACTGAAGTGTCCCTTTAACTCGTGGATCATTGAGGGGCGTGGTTTTTCTGTGCACGCACAATGACACGTATCATGTTAATGTTGTCATTTTTATTTGAATGTTTTTTTTAATAATGTTTTTTAAACTGCCTTGAGGAGGTTTGGTACATTAGCACTTAGTGTTAGCATTAGCATGTGCCATCAGTCCTGCACATAATTTTATTTTATTTTTTTTATATATATATTTTTTAATTTGTAGTACTTTTGAGGCTTCCCCTCTGGTCCTTAGGCTAGCAGGGTTAGCTTGTGCTGGTTAGTGTGTCCCTAACAGATTTAGCCTTTAGCTTAGCAGCGAGGTTAGTGTATAACAATAGCGGGACCATTTAGGTTGATATTTCTTAAATGAATCTGCACCTAAACCAGCGTCGTTATTGTTCTGACGATTGTTACCAAGCAGCCAAACGTGTCGCCAACAACAGGCGGCGCCTGAACAGGAATTTCATCTGACATTTCTTTATTTTGATATTTAACATCGGGCACTTTTAATTGAACTGTTGTTTTTCATGTTCAGACTTTACGCAGGAGCAGTACCAGGAACTAGGTATCTAACCTCATCCAGAACTAGTATTGGAACTACAAACAGTTCCCAGAGCTTTGTTTGTTTTTCACCACAGAACATAGTACCAGGAACGAGAGATGGTGCTCTGAAATATATGTGCAGTATTTTCCCATAAATTAGGAGTTAAAATAAGGTCTGTGGTACACGGTACCAGGAACCATACACAGTTTCATCACATTAACTAGCACCAGAAACTGATGAGTTGACAATGCAAGAACTGTCCCAGTACTGGGGACAGTACCAACAACTTACTGTAGCAGAAACTAGTGCTAGGAACTGAAGAAGGTTCTAGGACACTACAGCAAAAAGGGAAGGTTCCAAAGGAGAACTGTTGTCCTTTAACAATAGACTCCAGACTCTTTTGCTGCTGGAACTAATTGGAATCCACACAGACCAGAGACGCAGAAAAACTAGCTGGAACTGTTTTACCAAAAACGCCAGAAAAACTGATTTGTAGGATCTTGACTTGGACCCAACCATTAAGAACAAAATAAATGGTTCCTGGTTGTACCAGTTCCTGGTACTATGTGGTGGAAACACAGTCGATGCAGCCGTAGCGGTCACCGTCACAGAACATGAAGCTGCAGTGGACAGAATGTGAAGTAAACGGTGAACCTTGCACCACGTCATCTGTGGGTGGAGCAAAAGCTCCACACACACCCACTCACATCACCACCTGCAGCAACAGCAGCTCCACGGTGGGGTTTTTTTGTTTGTTTTTTTTGTAAAGAAGTAATTCATGTGCACTTGATCGTGATTCTGATACTGATCTTGTTCCTGACTCTGATCCTGATCCTGATCCTGTTAACGATCCAAAGTCTGCAGCTTCTCTCTGTCCCACTTCCTGATCTCATGTTAAGCCAAACCCTTGGTGCTCTGTGTGTGTGGGTGAAACACAGTGACAGGAACTGTCTCACTGGACAGAGAGGAACCCTGTTGATGCAACAATTCACTCATTTCTAAGTGCTGTTGTTAGCCAGGATGGGTCCCCCCCCCCCAACCCCCCCAGCTACAAGAACCAATCTGAAAAGAAACTGACTCAGTAGAAACATGGAGTAAATTCAAATCAATAGACACTTAACAAAAACTTGATTAATTTACACGTCTGTAATTCTCTTCGGTGTCGGTTCAAGCATTTACTGGACTCTCAAACACACCTGAACAACAGGAACCTGATGTTGGAAAACTGTTGACTCTCCCACAGTAAAGTCCAAGGAGAAAATCAGCGATTTTGGCTACCACACCAAATTCCACAGAGAAAATCAGTGATTTTAGCTCACTGACAAATTAAGTGATTTCCTACCTCCATCACAATGTTCAAATGTGTTATTTTTAAATCATTTGGTCAGATGGACCTTGGTGACACAAACAGACCCCAGGAGGCAGCAGGGGACCAGCAGCTCCTTTGGTCTGAGCTAAAATCCCTGATATTCTCTATGAGGTTGAGTCCAAGTTAAAAACACTGGTTTTCTCTATGAGGTTTGGTCTGGAGAAATTAAAGAGAAGAAGCAGAGGAAACATTGATTCCAGTTTTTCCCAAAGCTCTCTGCTGAGATTTCACCCAGAACCAGCCTCTGTATCTCAGCCTGTCTTCGCACGAGGGGGGTGAGGGGGGCAAGAGGGCGGGACTCACTGTCACCTCTAAATGCAACAGCACTTAAAAAAAACCCAACAACATTCCATTCTGTTTTCACATCTCTGTCACTTTTTGGAATGTTGGAGAAGAAACAGCATGTGGTTCTTTCCCTGGATCTTCTTCTGAGCCATGGTTGAGTTTCAGAGGTAGGAGCCGAGCGCTCATCACTGCCTGACACTCAAGTGTGTAACGCTTTTAAAAATGTGTTTTCTTCTGATGAAGATTCTGAATACTGTAAATATGGTCAAAATGTTGCCTCCAGTGGACACTGTGGAGATGCTGTCCAACTCTGGCTATGTCCACACCGCTGCTTTAAACAGCCACAGTTTTTAGATCAGAACCTTGTTTGGTTCCACACTGAGCATCTTCAGTGATGCTGCTGGAACCAGCTGAACAAACTCAGCTGAAGGTCCAGTCCGGGGCTAGAATTTGAGTGTTTTTTTGCACATCAAATTTCTCAGTTTTGGGTTTGGATGAGCTCATCAGTTGGTTCATGAATGTGTAGTTCAAACAACAGGGAACTCCAGACATGTTTCCTTTTTTAAAATATTTAATTGAAATGATAAAGTAATACTCTTTTAAGACACTAGGATAATCTGGATAGCATGTCTTCTCACTGATGATGTCAAAATGTTTTCAAGTATTGGTTTTATTTGGATCAAAGTAACTGTTATGTCACCATGAAGTGAATACAGATCAGTAGTACTGCAGTACTTTGTCTTGTGCAGACCTCCGCCTGGGTGCAGGCTATTTTCAAACTTTTGTTTTAGGACATCTGCAAAATGTTGACGGTATTTTTCCGAAGAACAGCAGTCATTTGTGACACCACATTATTATTGACGGCAGACAGAGAACCGAAGAACAGCAGTCATTTGTGACACCAAAAAATATCAGTTTTATCTCAGCAACTTCATTTTGGATCAGAAGTCGTCGTTTGTTTGTTTTTTTAAGCCTGATGTGGATCAGAAGTGATGCCTTTTTAAAAAAAAGAAAACCCGGTTTTAATGTTGGTTTGTTGGAAACAGCGGTGTGGACGCAGCCTCAGTCATCTGTGAAGCGCCTCAAATTCTTTGTCTGATGTTCAGAGTTTCTCAGAGATGGAGGAGAGTCGGATAGAATCAAGCAGCTGGTTTTTAAATCCTGTTTCTGGAGTGAAATCCTGGTTAGACCGATCCTTAATTATGTCCCCGACGACCATTTGTACATAGGAATATAGGACAATAACCTCTGTTGTAACCCTCGTTCTGACTGTAGGGGGTGTTGTTTCCCAGCAGCAACTTTGAACCCAGATGTAGTTCTTTACTCAATGAAGCCACAAAGCACCTTGTTCACGCCGGGAGGATCCGGCTTGGGGGGGAGGGGGGGAACAAACATTGTGTCTCCATGAAGCCTCGCCATCTGAAGAAGCAATATCAAAGCCACTGATTAACAGCAACTGTTGTCACAGCACTTCCTGAAGATCTGATCCAACAGACGTGGAACTCTTTTATTTTGTCTTGTGTGAAAGTGAGGTTAATCCTGCAGGAGGGAGGGTGGGGGTATTTTTTAAAGAAAATAAAATGGTTTTTTAATACCTCTGTTTGGATTGTCTGTTACAGCACTGACTGGGCCCAGAACGCCCCCTGGTGCTCAACCCAGTCTGCCACACATAAAACTGGCTGTCTGGGGAGAGAGAGCTTCTTGTAGAGATGTCGTAAAAATGCACTTATCAACAGACCAATTCAATGAGTCTAGACTAATCCACATATCAAGCTTGTGATACGGCCACAGTGTCACAGCTCCGAATAAAGACAAACGTTAAACTTTTCAAAAAACATTTATTCTTTTAAACATTATACTTATAGTTTGTATTAGCATCTCTGACGGCATCGCTTCACCGGACGTTTGAAACAAGGTTGACAAATCATTGTTATTTCTCTTCTCACGCTTTTGTAAACGTCACAGTTCCTCTGATGTGGGCGGAGCTGGCGCCGTGACGTCTGTGCACTGATTCCAAACTGATCCTGACGAGACTGAAGTTAGTTTCGCATTGTTTTGTTTTTTGTTTTTAGAATTATTGAAACGCTAAATTTAAGGGTAGATTTCCACGTTATATATGGTTCGATGATAAGGCAGGTTTTAGAAGAAGGTACAGCAGCGTTTAAAACGTAATAAATTCCCAGGAAATATGATTTGATATAATAAGCCACCTGTCATATTTCTTGGACGAGATTCTGATTAAAAAAATGTCTCCTTCATCTTTCATTTATTCGTAAGAAGTAAAAATATATTCAACCATGTTTATAAGAAGACCATTTCTTGCTCTTGAAAATACCTGATGATTTGTTTATGGTTCTGATAAAGAAAAACAAAGACGTTAATGTAGAATCATAAATGTTTACACTTCCGCTTGTGTTTTGGGGTCCGACGCGACTGTGGATATGAAGTAGACGTTCTTAGTGGTCACTTCCGGTCTCTGTCAGAAAGTTACTTCACCATATTTAGCTCCAGACCGAGGCTCCCGTCACTTCTACTGGTAACTGGAGCAGAGGAGTACCGGGAGCGGCCAGTTATCCGTGTCAGCCCGTTCCATCATCTCAGCGGGAGGACGCTGTCCGGGCGAGCTGGTGTCGGTGTCAGGGGCTGTCGGTGGTTTTTTAAACTGGTAAATTGACGGAGCGTCGGCCGCAAGAAGACCCAACTACCAGCATCAAAGCTAACGGAGCTAACGACGCTAACGGCGGAGCTAACTGTAGCAGCGCAGGTCTCTTTACCATATAGACGTTTTTTGTACTTGTCAGTGTTCGAACTGACCCAGCCATGTTTACGGAGTTATTTGGATTCGGTGACTTGATTGTCATGAGTACTTGACACGTCCGCCTTCTCCGGTTAGAGCTGCTATCCTCCAGCTGCCCGGCTAACTCCCGTAACTCCACTAACTGAGCTACATCGAGCTTCTCGTCCTGCCACCAACACCCGGATTCAGGCACTGACCGGACGCCGGCGAAAAGACCGGTAGGACAGGACGGTCCCCGGTGAACAGGGAGAGTCGCACGGCAGAGGCGTTGCGGCGCCGCAGCAGAGCTGGCACTGACCGGAGGAGAGTCTGAAGGTTTGACAGCTGTGATCCGGGACGTGAACCGGGCACCGGACCTCATGAATGGAAATCGGAACTACAGGTAAGGTCATACGTTTATATCAATTCCATCTTAAACCCGAGTGTAATCGAATGTCTCAGTTCAAATACTAGACTCATGTTATAGTGACACAAAATAATCAACACGGTAACAGTCTGACACTAGCCGTGTAGTTACCGCAAAGCATTTTTTTAACGTAATAGTCGGAATAATCGTGATTTACTATGACATGAATTAATATTTTTTTATATTAATATCTAAGATTATTAAAGAGGAACCAGGGACAGACCGAAGTTTTAGCTCGGAAGAGACAAAATATTGTGAATACGTAATATTGTGTAGGAGACTGCAGTTCTGTAGGTGTCTTTGGTACGTACTTCAGTTTTTGGGTCACGGTTCTATACGGTTTAGTTAGACTGCAACGCAAATAAAAAAACCTTTTTAAATGTAAAAATTATTCCCTCTCATAAGAATTTAAAAAACAAAATACTGCTGAAAGCTTTGGTCGTGACATCTGCCCGGTCTCCTTCCAAAACCAGTGGATTTAAAAAAAATCATAATCAAGATCAATTCGCTAAATACTGACATCCCTATTTAAATGGTCGGTTATTGGCTCTGAAAACTGATTGCATTTACTGCACATAATGATCGGAAAATCTAATAGTTTATCACCTTTTTTATTTCTCTTATTTCCATTTTACTTCCCCCTTCCTGTTGAATTTTCCCCTAAAGATAACTAAAGGAATAATTTATTGGAATATTGTTGAAGTTAATGCATTTAAATAAACATAAGCAATGTAATGCACGTCCTAAATCACTTGAAAAATATAAATGATTAAATTAGAAATTAGTGTCTTTGAATCACTCACATCCTACTGGATTGAATAAGGTTTGTTGATGATCTGACCAACTTTAATGAAAATAGTAAATTTGGAGCGTTCCTGGTTCACTGCACAGTACAAGTTAACTATTATTACCTCCATGAGTGTATGAGTGTTTGCAATTTCTAACACAGAACACAAATTTAACCCTAAAACTGGTCATACATGTGCCAACCCATCCATCTGAATGGTAGGGGCCAGTGATGTGGACAACTGGTTTTTATTGCTAGTGAAATGTCGTTGTGAACAGACGTAGGTCAAGAAGACGTGGAGTTGTAGAAAAAAAAGCTGTGATTTTTAGCTCACAGACCATTTTCCTCAGAGAAAATCAGTGATTTTGGCTGACAGCTGAGTCCATATGAACTGCAGCAAACAACAACTGCCACATCCCAAAAATTCACTCACTTCCTGTCCAGGAGATTCCCTTAAAGTGAGCCCCCGTCTGCAGCAACAGCAGCAGCAGCAGCAGCAGCAACTTGAAGATCAACTCCTGGAGTTGATCTTCAAGTTGCTGCTACTGTGACAACACTGACACTAAGAAAATGAACTTTCTCTGCTCACGTGATCGTACACCTGAGGTCAGAATGTCAAGTAAGGACATGAACAGGTTGACACTGATTCCTCTCATTGTGTCTGAACGCTGTCTGTAGAAGGTTGACGTGTAAAATCACAGCAGGCTGCTGTTAGAAGATGGGTTTGAATTCACCAGTCAGTCTTCTTTTTTTCTTTACAATAATGTACACTCCTGCGCTGTGTGCAGGCTTAGAAATAATTTAAACATTTATTATAGAACCAATTAGTTAAGTTAGACAATTCATGAAACCGCATTTAAAAAAAAAAAAAAAAAGATAGACTCAGAGAGAGTCAGCAAACCTGAGGGTCAGTCCCACAGTTCAGGTCTGTGTGTGTGTATGTGTCTGTGCCAGCGTGAGTACACACACTCACAGTGAAGGTGTGTGTTTTTCTTCTGGTTCCTCAGGAGCCGTTGGGGCCCAGTCCCTGTTCTCCATGCCTCGGCGGCCTGGTTACGGCACCATGGGCAAACCCATCAAACTGCTGGCCAACTGTTTTCAGGTGGAGATCCCAAAGATGGATGTCTACCTGTACGAGGTGGACATCAAACCTGACAAGTGTCCCCGACGAGTCAACAGGTCAGGGCCGCCGTGTGTGTGTGTGTGAGAGAGAGTGCAGTTTAGAGTGTGTGATATAGTGAGCTTTAGTGTTTTAAGTATGTGTGAATGTGTGTGCACCAACACACACTGAGACTGTGTTTTTGTGTATCTTTGTGTGTGTGTGTGTGTGTGTTGAACAGGGAGGTGGTGGACTCCATGGTCCAGCACTTTAAGGTGACCATCTTTGGTGACCGCAGACCGGTCTACGATGGGAAGAAGAGTCTGTACACAGCAAATCCACTTCCTGTGGCTCCAGCCGGGGTGAGTCTGTGTTTATAACTGGACGGCAATAAAACTGCAGCCCACACTTCAGTGATTGACAGCTGAGAGTTATACCACAGTAGAGTGAAGTAATACTAGTAAAGTAGAGTATTTGGAATAAAGTAATACTGGTAATGAGTCAAAGTACGCTACTACCAGTAAAATAAAGTATTCAGAGTTGAAGAACGTTGAGCTTACAACTGCCCTAGGAGTTAAAAAAGCTGAACTGGATTGAAGGTTCTGTTGGGCCCAGTCTTCCGTCCACCCGTGTGACCTCTGTCCTCCCCCCACAGGTGGACTTGGACGTCACCCTGCCAGGTGAGGGCGGTAAAGACCGTCCCTTCAAAGTCACCATCAAGTTCGTGTCTCTGGTCAGTTGGCACCTGCTCCATGAGGTTCTGACGGGCCGCAGCATGTCAGAACCGGTGGAACTGGACAAACCCATCAGTACCAACCCGGTCCATGCTGTGGATGTGGTCCTGAGACACCTGCCCTCCATGAAGTGAGAAGGGTTTGAACCTGGCTGTTACAGTTTTGGTCCTTGTTTAGGAAACAGGTGTGTGTGTGTGTGTGTGTGTGTGTGTGTGTTATTTATGACCATTGATCTGAGCTGGAGTCAAACCTCCTTCTCTCTGTATCATCTCAGTAACTGGGAAAAAAGGGTTTCTTCTCCTACAGAAAGAATTACATTGGATGAATGTTAGCAACACGTCAGCTAACGCCGAGTCTAACAGAGCTTGTCTTCTGCTCAGTGATGGTGCTGTGAGAAGGTCCATGGTCCACTGATGAGGGTCAGATGTTTGTCGGCATCTGGTTCTTGGCTGAACTCCTCAACTCCAAGATGAAAGATTCACGTCCTCTCTCTTTGTGGGGCAGGTACACTCCTGTGGGGCGCTCCTTTTTTTCTGCACCCGAGGGCTATGACCATCCTCTGGGTGGAGGCAGAGAGGTGTGGTTTGGTTTCCATCAGTCTGTACGTCCAGCCATGTGGAAGATGATGCTCAACATCGACGGTGAGAAATAACTTCTAAAGCTCCTCCGCGTGTGTGTGTTTCTGTGTGTCTGTTGTGTTGGTCAGTGAGTGAGACGACGGCAGCAGTGAGAAAAGACACTGTTTCACCTGGAAACGTTGTTCATCAGTTGAATACCTGTTTCACCTGGAAACGTTGTTCTTCAGTTGAATATTGTTGTTCAGCATCATCGTCGGTTAACCTTAACAACAGCCGTCGATCACATGCTGTGACCAATCAGAACTGTCCTCCTCCGTCTTGTCTGCCTTTCCCCTGTCACTTGTTCACTGATGACATCGGTCCAAAGAGATAGGAGAGAAAATAGAGGGTGAAACAAAACGTTCCGCAGCTGGATCGTCCCTCACCGGGACTGTAACACCTGACCTATCACCTCTGACCTCTGACCAACTTCCCCTTCACGGGTGGAGCCTCTGTAGAGTATTAGAGTAGTTAAGGCACTTTATAACAACCTCTGAATTTGGAGGCTTGTGTTTTTGGAGGGATAAAAAGTACCTGATGTGTGGAAAGAGGATTTGAAAACTTCATCTGAACTTTACACAGGAAACGTAGGGAGAAAAAAAAAAAAGAAACAAACAAAGGAATAACTTTACAAACACTTGGGGAAAGACTTCAAACTGTGTTCTGTGCTCTAAACGAATTTGTTGTTTACTTTTCCAGTGTCAGCCACAGCCTTCTACAAAGCTCAGCCCGTCATCCAGTTCATGTGTGAGGTTCTGGACATTCACAACATTGACGAGCAGCCCCGCCCACTCACCGACTCTCACAGGGTGAAATTCACCAAAGAAATCAAAGGTCAGTATCAACACCAAATATTCCTCTTTTCTTTCTTTCTTTTTTTTTTTTTAGTCACCACTCTGACTTCCTCTCCTCCTCCTCCTTGTCCTTGTCCTGCTCCTCCTGCAGGTTTAAAGGTGGAGGTGACGCACTGTGGAACCATGCGTAGAAAGTACCGCGTCTGCAATGTGACCCGCCGTCCTGCCAGCCATCAGACGTGAGTCAGCGATGTTTGAATGTGTGTGTGTGTAAGTGATGAAGATACAGATGAGGAGCAGCTCAAAGACTGACTAATGTGAGCAGCATGTGTAAGTCTTAGTCATCGCTGACTCAAACAGCTGTGAGAACACAAACATCAGCCTCAACATCAGGAGCTGCTCAGACACCAAAGTAAATCAGGTTTGGGTTAAAAAGGAGCGGCAACGAGAGGCTGGAGGGGTTTGTCACAGGAAGTAGAGGCAGGTGAAGACATCAAACGCTCTGACCTCTGACCTCCAACCATCCCTCCTGCCGCAGCTCCATCAGTCTCCAGCTCCACTCTCACTCTCCACATCCTCTGTCCTGATAGTTTCTCCACTTCCTGTTGCCTCCTGACTCCACCTCCTGTGTCCACCTCCTGTGTCCCAGCCTCTCTTCTTCGTTGGTTGTTGTCAACATCTATTTACAGTTGGCTCAATCGTGGGCTCGCTCTACCTGACCAGATGTGTCCAGATTCAGCTCTGTTGTATTGACTGTGATTGAGCTCAGTTGCGTTCTCCTCGCACGATCACAGATGTTTGGACCGACTCAGCACGATGACTGCTGCAGACTCTCATCAACTGGGAGTTGTGGCTAAAATCTGACAGAAACCGTCTAGCTGTGTGCCCTCAGTGTGTGTCTGAACCAGATGATGCTGGTTTTAGCTGGTCGCTTCCTAACATCTGTGTAATGAACGGATGAGTAGATTGTTGTCTTGAGCTGATGGAGAAGGTCCGAGTCCAAACATTCTTCAGACATCTCTCCGCTCCAGCCTTTGCTTTAGGATCTGTCGTCTTCTCCGTCGTTCTTCACTTTTCGTCTTTCTTTTTCATTATCTTTCAGATTTCCACTGCAGTTGGAAAATGGTCAGACGGTGGAGCGGACCGTGGCCCAGTACTTTAGGGAGAAGTACAGCCTCCAGCTCAAATACCCTCATCTGCCCTGTCTTCAGGTGGGGCAGGAGCAGAAACACACCTACCTGCCCCTGGAGGTGAGAGAAATTCCAAACCTTTATTTGACTTCATTGTTGTTTCTCAAATCGACCATGATCCTGGAAGATCTGCTCCTGGGAACTTGGTCTGAATATGAATATGAAAACATTCAGATTCTTTGTCTTTAAGTCGGCTACAGTCTCCACTAAGAACATTCAAACCACATCTGTTTGAGCCTCAGAGAAACCTGTGTTACTCTGACCTCCTGTGGTAACCACATGAACTGCAGCTGTGTTTTCAACTGGCTTGCAATTCATTGGTGTAGTTGTTGTTAGGGATATGACAGTTTTCACTATTTTATTTTATTTTTAAACATTTTGTAAAAAAATATTGTAAATTTATACGTCAACCAAAAAAAATCAGTTTTGTGATTTAACTTCAAATAACATTGTCTGTGTGTGTGTCACAGGTGTGTAACATCGTAGCAGGTCAGCGCTGCATCAAGAAGCTGACAGATAACCAGACGTCCACCATGATCAAAGCTACGGCTCGCTCCGCTCCAGACAGACAGGAGGAGATCAGCAGACTGGTGAGTGACGCACTGACACCACCTACTGGAGGAGCAGCTCCTCCTCAGTCTGAGGCTGTGTATCAGTGTCTGATTGTCCATACAAAATGGTGTAACTTCTTATTCTTCTCCACCTTCTTCTATACTTCTCCTTGTCCTCCTTCCTCCTCCCTTTCCTTTTTTCTTGTCTTTTCCTTTTTCTTCCCCCTTTCCCTCTTCGTCTGCTGCAGGTCCGCAGTGCCAGCTACGAGGCCGACCCCTTCGTCCAAGAGTTTCAGTTCAAAGTTCGAGACGAGATGGCCCACGTGACTGGGCGAGTGCTGCCCGCCCCCATGCTGCAGTACGGCGGCAGGGTGAGCACAGAGCACTTTCTTCTGGTACCTTCCTTTAAATCACCACCATTCTGTCTGTCCACATGTCAGTCCGTCTGTTTGTCTACGTGTCTGTGTCTGTGTGTCTGTCTGTC